TCCCTGCTCTCATCCTTGCTGCACCTGGATCTGCCTTCAGAAACCACCAGCCCTGCCCTGGGGGCACCAGGACACGCTGCTCTTACCTGGAGGGGAACCGCAGAGAAGCGGGGAGGTGACAATCCAGCTGGGAAGGGAGAGAGGTTATTGGGAATGGATGGGCCCCATCGTGTCCCCTCCCATCCTGGGGAGAAAGGGGCGAGGCTGGATGAGACACGGCACAGAGCTCCTCCTGAGCAGTGCCTGTGGCTTTCTGGGGAGCCCCAGGAGCTAACTGTCCTCAGGACCTCTGTCCAGAGCCACCCCACAGGCACCCAACAAAGTCTGTTCAGCACCTTCCTCCACCCCACACCAAACAGCTATCTGCTCCAGCCGGTGCTCCTACAGCCTCTCCCCCTGCACCTCCCTCCCACCAGTCACTCCTGCCCGGGGCTCTTTCACTATTTAGCACACCGCTTTCTGCCCAAAGCTTTTCTCCCTGAGCGTCCTACAGCGTTACCTCCTCCGTGCCCTCCACCCCAGACCTCCTGTCTGCTGCTCTCCTTGCACAGGACACAACATGGCTCTGTTCTTGGTTGCAACGGCTGCAGCAAAAACAATGAAGAGTGATGACAGCATTTGCATCACCTGCTGTCACTGCCCAGAAATGTTTCCCTATAGTGTGGGCAGACCAACTCAGTCACAGCATTACTTAGGCATCCCATCTGCAGCATGCATGCTTTGCAAGGCAAACTCCCTCTGCCAGGCTGCGGTGGGATGGCATTAAAGGTCTTTGGTAGGAAGCCTTCCTCCCACCACTTGGGGGTCTCTACCCCTGCTCCTCTCAATCCTGGATCCTTCCTGGCTGACCTGGGGCTCTCCCTCTTGCCTCAATGTCTGCTGAAGTTCCTCAGAGGATGTGAATACTGAAGTCACCACTCCCTTCCCTGCCTCTCCAACACACAAGTTTATTTTCTTCAATGAAGAAACACCAGTGGAGAGGGGTTTACAGCTGGAGGCTCAAACCTGCAAGAAAACGGTCTCGTTTTTCTCCTCATGCTTTGTCTGCCTTGCAATTTGACAGTTTTGGTCCCCATTGTACTGAGAAGCTACCCTCACTCTTGTCAGCATGGCCTCAATAATCTGTGGAGGGTAAAACTAATGCCTCTCTCACGTCGTACGTACTCAATAGATGCACCTTAAAAGTGCGCTGGTCTCCTCATTCCCTCTGCACTACAAGCTTGTCTTCAGGCCTGTATGAGTTGTCATGTTTGTATCCAGGCACACTGGGGAGATGCGTAACAAGTCTCCTCTCCTCAGGTCTCACTGGGAACAACCTTCTGGTCACTCTAGCAGTTTAAACAGCAGTGGCAGGGTGTCTCCACAGGACTCCCTTGTCTTTGCCACATCTCCAGTTTTGGTGTCATCAAGAATCCCAGACTAATCTGCATCATGATGGATTTAGAAAAATAAAGAAAACAGTTTTACTAATAAATGTTGTCACACTAACCTCTTCCCCAGGTGCAATCTTCACTACACAGCATCTTCTCCAGGGGGAATCTGCACAGACGCTTCTCATGGGCCAAGCTGCATGCGACTTGGTGAGTAGGGCTAAGGGCATTTTCCCGGGCAGGGTGCATGCTGGCAGGAAAAAGAACTGGCTGACCCAGTTGAACAGAGCAGCCTACACAGCAGAACAACCTCTAGATGAAGGTGATTACGAGACCTGATTACTGGAGGTTTCAAAACACAGGTTACCATAACACCTGAAACAACGTGTTAATGCAGAGCGCGTAGAGTCTTGGTGCTTGGGGGAAAAAAAATAAAAAAACACACATGAAGTTCATCAGAGCCGTGCATCTGATGAAGAACTGCAGAATCTGTTAATACGCACATAGGCAATTTTCCACTCAGCAAGAAGAGCAATAGATGGTACTTAAAAATGGGAGAAAGCGAAAGCAATCCAATGCTTGAAGTCCTCCCTTTGCTTGCCTCCTTACAGCAGGGAAACCTGAAACCAAGATAAAAAGCCTTTGCGGGCTCTTTGAAAAATGCAAACACACACTGGATCAGGAGAGGGTTTAAAGTGCACACTTTTATTTTCTATTACAAAGGCTAAAAGAAGCAAGTTTGTTTTTTTTTTATTTAAGAACAGAAACAAAAATGTTGTTAAAACATCTACATTATTATCCTGATACTAGACCTTATGAAAGATACTAAGTTCTTTTTTAATAGTAAAGCGTGGTATTCTTAAATTATATTAATACAAAGACATATTAAAGGACTCGAAATCATTACTACCCAGCTCAGAACTGCAGCATCCCCTTGCTATCTTTTCCTTTCACTTGCTAAAACCCATCCGTTTTTGACATACAGTTTCATACAAGCTAAGTAGGGTATTTTTTGTTTTTTTACTTCCCCCTGTAAAGGTCAGGTTAACTCCAACACCAGCATCACTTAAATCTCTGCCCCTACCAAAGGATTTGGGAAAAGATTTCCACTAAGTCCTTCAGCATTTAACAAGCTGATCTAAATCAAAGTCTTGACTCTGTGTGAGTGTGTGTCTGTGGTTATTTTACAGGATACGAGATTTTCTTCTAATGTTATAAAATTAAAACATCACTTCTGTTGTTAATAACCCTTGGATTTGGTTCTGTGCTGCAAAATTTTCTTTTCCCTCATGTGAATGAAGAAAAGAGAGAGTTATCACAGGGTCTTGTGAACGCACCACTAAAGCAGCCCTAGAACTTGTGGTTTATCTGTTGTAGAGCCTCGAGTGCTGAGCAGTTCTGCTGAGAGTACGTAACTTGCCGAAGAAAACCCTCTTTGGCTTGATAAAGCGAGCCTGGGAAGTCAAGTGTGAAGCTTCCTGCCTTTCACAATATCCCTTTAAATAATATAAGCAAAGCCTTATCATTAAAACTTTACTCGCTAGTTAGCAGTATAATACTCTTTCACTGAGATGGGACTGCGAGGGCATCCTAGGGGGTTTCAAAAGTGTGAACAGGGAAACCTGTCCCATCTCAAAATTTATACCTACCTATATAAAACCCTCCCCTCTTTGCTATTGCCCTTTCCCTAACCCAAATAAAGTCTTCATATTTAAACTGGAGATGCTGCGTTTCCTGGCCCGAGTCCTTTTCCTTTACCCTCATTGAAAAGATTCCTTCGATACCACACACATATAATATTATATAGAGTGATATATTTAATACCTGTGTATATATGCTTCATGGGAGGGGTCACATATATACACACTAAAACAAGTCTGGTGACAAAGTACTGCAACACCACAGACCAGGTTATCATATCAGGGAAAACAAAAAGAGATACTTGACGCAACCCCCGTGACCGTGGGCCTCCCTCACCTCACGCACGCTCGCCCTCTCCCCACCTCGGCCCCAGTCTGAACCTCTGAAGCCCTGCTGAGCAGCTCAGCTCTCATCACAGAGATGGAGAGAGGGGACAGCGACCCACTCCGTAACCTAAACAAGTTATCGTATGAGAAATAACGGCGCAGCGAATGCTAGAGTCACACGAGAGATGCAGGTTTGTTTTAAACAGAAAAAACACATTCCAATGTTCCCCGATCCAGAGTTGCTTCCTTGGCGACTGCCCAAGAAGAGCAGAACAAGATAACCCAGGAGCTGAAGCCTACCTCCTCTCCCGCCTCTCTGTTTATAAAGTTGACCAGTTGAGCACAAGGAGCGCCAGGAGAAGGTACAATCTGGACAGCTACAGCAAAGGGCAGAGGAGAAAATACAGCACCTGACCACTCAAAAACTGCCATGTCTGATATTGCATTGGTCACTCTCTTTCCCCATAGCACTACGGATCCTTCCCCATCTTGTCCTTCTCCCCTCACGTGGGCAGAGATAGAAATAACCACTGCCACCTTCTCCCAATAAGCCACCCGTGTATCATCAGATGTCAGGGTCCTGGCCCCTTCCAGGCCAGATCTCAAGGTGCTGTACAGCTAGGAAGGGAAGCTCATACCAAACCAGTGATTGCCATCCACATTTTAAAGGAGAGCAAAGAAGTTCAGAGGCACGTCTAGCTTACTTAGAGCACATAGTATCTCTGGAAAGACCCAAGACCAGCATGCAGCACACGCAGCTCCTGGGCCTTAACTACCCCAGTGGAGCTGATGCACCTCCCTGGAGGCTGGTTTACAAAGGTGCCAGTTGCCCCCTCAGCATCTCCTGCATTTCCACATCTCTTGTACTTCCACATCCCATCTTTCTTGAAGCTGGGAACCCCAAGGATATGGGAGCAGGGAGGGAAAAGGGGGACCCAGCAATGCCAAAGCACCAAGCAGTTTGCGGCCAGATCATATTTACCAAGGATACAGCCCTGTCAGCCCCAAGGGCTCTGAGCTTGCTGTCCTGGGAGACTCTGTATGAAAAAGACATCCCCTACGAAGGCTGGGAGGGAGATGTATTTGTGTTGGAGTGGATGGTGCCATCCATGCATGCAAAACTGCAGAGCGCAGCTGGACTGCAGAAGAGAGAAAGAGAGGGAAGCTCAGGACAGGACACACGTTTACTGCTTACAGGATGAGACCGCCAGAAAGGACAAGGCTGGCATACAGAGCAATACTGCCTCTCACTGATACCACTACAAAAGCCAAAACTCCTGGCCCAGAGCTCAGCATCACTGGTTCCCCCATCATGGTGCCCATCAGGTGGGACAGGAGCAGGCGCATGGCTGGGTCCCACTGTGCTGCTCACCCTCCACCGCGGTCCCTGCTCTGGGTCGCATCCTGGCTGCACTGCGTGTCCACAAGCTCCCTGCCCCAGCTCCGAGGAGGCGGGGGCTGGACCTCCGGTGCTGGTAAATACTCTTACAGCTGAATTCCCATCAGCAAAACATTGCCCGTGCTGCTCCATGGTGTCCTTTTAAATGGGTCCCCACCCAGTTCTGGCAGTACAGGGAAAAATGCAGGGAAAAATGCAGGGAAAAATATACTGTAAATAATCAGTAACACAGGCCATTTAAAGAGCAAGAAAGGAACCCCAATACCTCCCTCCCTCTCTTCAGGACACAAGGCAACACAGAAACACAGGCTCCTTTTGGTTACAGCCTTCCTCCTGACTGATACTGCTGCGTGGACTACAGTGACGCAGGGTGTGTCACAGTCTCCACTACACCTTCTAGATGGCTTCAGTCTTACTTGCACCATTCACACCAGCCAAAAAACCAAACCAAAGCTACCCACCCTGAATACCTGTCGCACACCGGGAAAGGCATCTAATGAGGAGTCACCAGTTTGCTTTCTGGGTACAGTCAGCTGAAACAGTCTGAAGTCACCTACAATCCAGTTCCTGCTGCTGCAAGCAGTTTTATTACTTTGCTGCTTTTAGCTATGCTCTTTATACCAGATGGCTGTTACCCTCCTCAGCACCAGTTGATGCCTCAGGGCAATATAGACAGCAGGAGCTTAAGCCTATATGTTTTAAGCTAGATCTAGTGGTTTTCCTTCTTTTGCACCTCAATCCCTAATTCTTCTGGTACTGAACTCCCAGGAGAGCAGGCCGGCTGCAGCAGCGTAAGTGGGGCTTGCTCTGCAGCACTGAGAAAAGGAGCACATGAACGTCACGGTCACCTTTTCACCAGATGTCTGGCCCTTTCTCTCAGCTTTGTCCTCTGGACCTCTGCAGCCACACTCCGAACTGAAAGGCTGGAGAATGGCACAAGGAGGAATTCTCCAATTTGCAGCCCAGTACAGATTGGATTCATTCCTCTGAATGAAGGACAGCGAAAACAAAAAGATGGAGAGGAAGGAGAATTTGGGGGAAAGAAGAGTGAGAAGATGGATCACAAACTCAGTGAGCATGGTGTTTGCTGGCCAAGAAGAATCAAATTCACTATTTCATTCACCACTAATAAATCATTGTCTCATAATCTTAAAACAAAAGAAAAGAAAAAGTTCTCTTTGCGAGACACAGATCTCGCTCTCCCTGCTACTGCCACTCTCGGAAAACCCACCCCACGTTTCTCCAGCCGACAGGCTCCCACCCACCCCTTACTATACGTCATCGCGCAATAGGAAGTTGTATTTCCCAAAGTCGTCATCCCTGGGGCAGAGCAGCATGTCCTTGCGGGCTTTGGCCAGTTTCTGTTTCAGCACCTCCCTCCGGTCTAGCCACTCCGTCAGCTCGTCCTGGCCATGGGCGTAGCGACACTCCTCTCCTTCGGGGCAGGCCTTGCTCTTCTGGAACCTGCCGGCACAAGGAGCACGATCAGGAAGGCACCCCCAGGACAGAGTTTCGAGCTCCCCATCTGGGATACTTGGTTGGGGCCCACCGACACATGCTGCGAACTCTCCTTTCTAAGGGTGAAGTGATTCTCCTACAAACCCACATGCAGCTGGGGAAGGCAACGTGGAGGCTGGGCGCAGAAACAGAGCCGTGGACAGAGCGATGTCTATGAGGGGATTTAGTGAACAGAACAAAACAACGTGAACTGGAACGGGACCAGCAGGGATGAAGAGAAACCACCACACAAGAGAGGAAATCTCAGGTAACAGCCGCGAGAGACAGACCCTTCTCTCTAACCAAAATGGCATTTCTAACCATCACAAGCCTCCTGAAGACACCTCAAGGTGCTGATTCAGAGGGTGTGAGACATTCAAACCATTTAATAAAGCACGTGGGATTCCCCCAAGCATCAGGACAAGCAGACTGTTCAGCAGCCTGAGAGCTGAGAGCATCCTGGCCATGGATAGCACAGGTGCAGACATGAAGCTCACTCTCCTTTTCTAAAGATACGTGCTCGGGAATGTATTTTTACCACTCAGTAGTGTGGCTGAGCACCTCTGGGATCCAACAGCAGCCTCACCATTACCCAAACCTGTCAGCTTGTCCCACTCCTGCAACCAGAAGTCCCTGGGGACTCTGTGAGAGGAGGAGGACATGGTGAAGGAGGAGGAGGAGGAGGGATGATAGAGGCCCTGGGCCTGCTGCCCTGTCCCTGCAGCAGCAGCACAGGAGGGAGACAAGGCAACGGTACCTTTCGCAGAGCCGGAATTCGCCCATGGGGAAGCGGTAGCTCCAGCAGCTGGAGTCACTGTCCGAGGTGAAGACCTTCTCTTTGTGCTTCTCCGACTGGATGTGCTGCTGCCATTGCTTCTTGCTGTTGCTGTTCTTCCCGCAGAGCCAGCAGTGGTAACCCATCTAACCGGTGCAGACAGGGCAAAGGGCCAGTCAGTGCATTAACAGTCACCCCCATCAGCCTTCCCTGTGCTGACACTGCCTCTCCCCCTCTCTTTCCAGAGCATCCTGGAAGCTCCACTCAGTCTACGACCTCCTGCACTTCCCTGCCACGTCATCTTTAGGGCATCGTGCTGCCACTAAGGGGAAGCAGAGGAGATGCTCTGTTGAGGTTTACCTATAACTCAAACGGGCTCAGAGAACAGGACAGCTCAGTTCACTGACGTGGTCCCCCTGCCCCTGCTCACGGCCCAGGTGGGGTCTGATTGCAAGGCCCCCAGGTGCACAGGCGAGGCAGGACTCTGCAGGAGAAGAAACTCTTAGACCAGCCACCACCCCTGGGCTAAGGGGACACATCTGCCTCTAGTGTTCCCAGGCCTCTGTGCTCCAGACCCAGCTCTTCTCCAACCTTCTCCCTCTTTTCTGACAGGCCATCAATGGCTTTGCCAGCTTTCCCAGGAGCAGGCAGGAAGCAGGGGAGAGGCTGAGCCCACGCAAAAGGGAACCTAAGGTAGACTCTTACTGAATCGAGGATTAACAGAAAAGCCATTGCAGAGCCTTGCTGACCCCAGGTCAATCCCTTCCCGCCTCATCTGTGCTGCCCTGGTTGTGCTGCTCCAAACTGTCCATCTAACCTACATTAGCACGGGCTCTTTCCCACAAGAGCAGGCAGTCCCTGCTAGCTCACACCTGGAGCACGGGAGAGAGGTGGGCTGTCAGCACCAAGGAGGAGGAGGAGGCATAAAGGACAAGAGAGCAGCTGATTACCATGATGTCAGCATAGTCGGTGGGCATCTGGATCTGTTTCTCCCCTTCTCGCGAGGTGAGCGGCGTCCCCTCTCCAGGCTTCCCAGGATTGTGTTTCTTTAGCCACATGTCATAGGTCTGCTGCATATCTAGTACTGCATAAAGGCGACCCGTGAAGTCACTCAGACAACCTCCCGCACTGTGCGCTAACTACGAGAAAAGGACGAACGCTGGGGCAGCCCTTCCCTCCCCTCTCCAGTGCAGCAGCAGCTGCCATCAGACTGCAGACCTGTGCTCGGGAGGCCCAATGTCGCTTGCCCAGATGAGAGCCCCGGGGAGAGGAACCAAATTCACACCACACCTCCTGGCATGGGGGGTCTCTTCTATGACTCAAGGGGCAACTGCGACGGCAGCTACACCAAGTATTCAGGAAGAAGGGAAAGTGCCCCAAGATCTCCGTGGACTTCACCCCACAAGGTAATTCTCCATCGGGCCTCATTCTGCTTGACCTCAGCAGATATCTCACTCCAGCCAGGGAGCTAAGGCAGGGGCTGGATTCAGATCCGTCCCCTCCCTCCAAGCCTCAGCTTCATCCTCAGCACTCGAGAGGGAGGAGAGCCCTTAAGCAAGCTGGCCACAGGAAGCACTGGGGAGGGGAGGAAGACCTAATGATAGCCTGCTCCAAGTTCAAAACCTGTCCAGAGGAGCGCAGTCGATGTCTCTTGGTGCTTGTGGTTTAAAACCAACTCAGCATACTAGTGGGAAGGGAAATTTTGGGCAGAAGCTTTGACTGCACATCTGTCTTTCCAAGATCAGCTCCTGAGAGCAGCAATGGAAACATAAATGTTTGCAGACACTGATGTGATGCTGTAAGTGCGATGTGTTAGTGATTTACTCCTCACTAAATGGGTAATTGAGGAACTCAAGGCAGTTGGGGATAATGAATGCAAATTCCCCCAAACTGAAACAACGCTGTCATTTGAAGATTCACCTTCGTGTTTGAGCAAACACACCCAGACTGGTCTGATGTGCTTTAAACGCCTCAGCAACAAAATGAGTTGAACTGTAACAACTAACAGCGTTCGGCCCAGCAGAGAGAAAGACCCTCCATCCAAGCACAAAGACCGAACAAATTCAGGCCAGGCCTGAAACCCTTCAGGCTTTCCAGCATCTCCCAACACAACTAGCTGAGCACCTGGACAACTGGGCCTTGCAAAGAGCTTGCTGTTGGCCTGAAAAAACAAGGATTGCTGCCAGAGAGCTGGCAGTCCAAGTCATGGGCAACCACCCAGCTTTCCCCCAAAAGGTAAGCTGGGAGCCTGCATAATTAATTCCAGATAAGCTCCTCCACACAAGTACCACCCAACAATATTCTCATTCAGGATCTCAAATTCACCCCTTTCAATACAATGCCATGAGCAGGGAGTGCCACAGCCCAGGAGCAGGGGATATGAGCAGAAATGGGCAAGAAAGCCAAGGCAGATAAAAGACAGACAAGAAAGATACAGGAGCAGCTACAGGTCAGGACTGGTTCTTGGGCAGAGCTCCACACGGAGCCAGGCCTGGGACAGTACGGCAACTGGACGGACAGCACAGGGTGGACTCAAAGAGCTGCAGAAAGGGAGGGCAGCAATAGAGCAGTGCAAGACACGGGACCAACGTGCACTAGCCCCAGAGTGAGGGACTCAAGATATACGTGCATGTTTAACAAAATAGCAGCTCTAAATTACTGTAGACAGACCTGCCCCATAATCCAGTCTAAGCTCATGGTACCAGATCCGCACAGCTCCATCTCTGTTGTCAAGAGTAGGTCTTAAGAGAACCTGCATCCACTGCCCAAATGTCCTCTTCCCTCTCCCCAACCTCTCTGGCCCATGTTTCCCCCACTCACTTTTATTTTCCTTCATGAAGGTCCACATGTCTCTCTCCTCAGGACTGTGGGCGAAGGAGCAGTTGCCCACATACTGGCATTTCCTGCCATTTTGTGCATGGATACACAACTGTTAAAAGACAGAGCAAAATTTAGTATCTGCGCAAACACTCCTTGCTAGACCGCAAAGTGGGTTTTCAGCTGGGACATTATATTGCACACAGGAGAGGTCGCAAACAGGACACTTCACACGTCATTAACTCATGCTTCTTTTCCTCAAGCTCCTGATGACACAAAGGGTACGTTTTCCCTATAAACATGCAGGCAGCTCCATTCAGCACCTGGCCTCTCTCTCGTTGACATTTCCATAGGCAACTGGGTGCAGCTTCGCTTAGCACTGGCCCTGGGGGAGAGCACAGGGAGCAACCTGGATCGACCCAACAGTGTCTCCTGCTGGTCACGTTGCTGGTCCCCAAAGGTGACTCATTCTCCAGCCATCTCCAAGCAGGTGAAGAGTGGCCTTACCGGTTGCTTAGACCACCACACTCGCGCGTACACAACTTGACCTCCCAGCTACCAAGTCCTGCCAGCAGAAGAGGACAGCAGTGTGGAGACCAGCTGGCCCACACAAACTGGGGAGAAGAGATGACGCTGTTCCTCTCTGGCTGGGGTTGGGTGGAGCTCAGGAACGCACATGCTCGTATGGCAACCTGCTTTGCTGCACAATCTGCGACTCACCTGCTGGCCTCGTCTCCTACTGCAGCAGCTGTAAATAACTCTTGCTCCCCTCCCCAGCTTCTAGCAACTGGCCTGCAACTGGAGAGCACTCAAGGCCTCACACGTGGCCTTGTGCTTGCCCATGGAGTAAAGGGCAGCAGATCCCATAGGGTAGGGGGAGAGGAGCTTCCTCCTTTCAGGGAGAAAGGAAAGGAGAGAGAGAGAGAAACTATCAGTCGCCATATTCAAGGCTGGGGTTGGAGGTTGGATAGCTGCAGTTTTCCCCTCACAGCACGTGGCTTTTTAGCTGAATTCTTAGTTTTGCTTTCAAAACACATCGTGAGCACATTTCACAATCTACAGCAGCACAGCCACAGCAAAGGCAGGGACAGGCTTCTCCCAAGCGCTCCATCTCACCTCTCACCCACATTGAGAAACGCTGACCTAAGGGGAGACTTAAATCTCATTCCCAAACCCTGTGCCAGCCCCTTCTTGAGAGAGTGACTGCATTAACAGCAACGTCAGAAACTCGCATACATGTGTAGAGTGGTTTAAAGGGGTGCTGCTCCTTTTCCTGCTCCACTCTTTTGCTGGATGTGTTTCAGATCTTGCTGCCATCAGTCTGTCCTTGCCTCCCACCTCAGCCAACACGTGCCTGCCTCCCTGCCAGGTCTACAAGGGACCAGCCCTCAAAACACTGCACCACGGTGGGAGGGAAGGGGAATGGGCACCTGGCTGTGCCAGGCATAGGGCTTACATCATATTGTTGCGGGAAGTTGCGGATGGAAGGCAGTGGTCGGACAGACACCCACTTCTTCTTTGCTTTGGACATCACCAGCAGGACGCGACGTTCCTTCGTCCAACTAAAGAAGAGAGAATAAATCAAGAGAGGCAAAAGGAAGAGCAGAACAAGGTTTTGTTTTCCTCAGAGACCCCTAAATATTGAGAGATGACCAGATTCTCCAGTCCAGCTTGTCCCTGCACTATCCGGCTGCTCTTAGACATATTACATCTGTGACATAGAAGCCACAAGAAAGGTGTTTTAGGAGGATTTCTCCCTGTACTTATCACATATTTCCTGGGGTATCTCTTCTCATAAAGCCACAAAAGTCTCCCCCAAGTCTCATATGGCATCACCATGGATTACTAAACAGCTACATTCCACCCTTCGACACAGCCAATGCTTGTGCAATCAGATCCATGAAAAACGTCTGGGAATATTTTCTGCTTGAAAGGTGCAGTAGAAATGCAAGTCATTACAAGCACTGTCTTATGCACAGGTGCCAGGAAGTATTAATTCTGCGGCTCCAGCAAGTGATCACCAGGAGATACCCTGAGCAAAACCCCCAGCTCTGTTCAGCAGCTGCACGGAGAGGTGTTATCCTTCCCCTTCCAGGAAGTGATCCTCACCTGCTCACTTCCTCCAGCAACTGCTGCTTCTGTCTCTTTTTCATCAAAGGTCTTACATTTGCAGTAGGATGCTGGACTGTTCCCATGACACAAGCCAAAAAGGCAGCGAAATCCTATAAACCCTTCCATCCTATCCTGCCAGGCTGCCTGGGTGAGAGGTGCCACAGTTCCCGTGACTTCCCAGCTGATATTCGTCTTCTATCACACTGAACATGCTTACAGGCCCCAAGGAGCCAGGAGGTGCAAATGGACAAGACGTGTGTCAGAGAAGAGCAACCAAAGCAATAAAAAAGCCAAGGAAACTAATTTAAAAGGAAGCAGAATACCTTGAATCACTGCTAATAGTGACCTGACAGACATCTGCAAACAGCTAGGAGTATAAACAAGTGCAGAGGAGAACTATCTTAGTGATCTTGCTAAGAAGAAATGATAGCAACTGGGAAAAAAGGGAACTGTGGGAGCTGGACTGCATGCACCAGGAGTAACAGTCTGCACAATGCTGGCAGCAAATACAAACAGTAAAGAAGAGAGCTGGAAACTGGAAAACAGCTATCTGCAATGCTTCCTATAGTGACAAACACCCCAAGCAGTGAGAGGCTGCTAGGAGACCTTACAGCTTCTTCCAAAGAAGCCAAATGAAGCCCTGGAGGAGGTAAGAGGAGAAATTCCTGCCCTTGAGGAGGGGTGGGGGAGAGAGAAGGTTGCATTGCTCACCAGTGGCGGGCTTTGGCACTACAGTACTTGAGGTCTTTATCTGGCTCCACCAGCTGCCCGTTCCTCCAGCACTGGCCACACACAAATTTCATCTGGAGGTCAAAGGTGCTTGACGTGGGAGCCCGGGGAGAAGCCTGGGGAAGAGAACCACAACCTCAGGCAAACAGAGCCAAAATGCACCCCCCAAACTGCCACGGAGATGCTGGTGGCTCCCCGCACACCTGCGTGCCAGCGACAAGCCAGAATAAATCAGAGACAGTCCAGCTCTTCTTTGCCAGCATCAGCTGGTGGCCCGTCGAGATACCAGACAGGAGCAAAACCACCACTTGCTTCAGCATGATTTCCTGGGCTTTGACGTCTGGCCAAAAGCACAGCCAGCCTGGCAGCTTCAAGCACTGACCAGGCCTGGCTGCAAAACCCCTGCAGCGTATCTCCATGTACAGGCAAGCTCTGCAAGACCTGCCCCAGCGCTTAATCCCCGCTTCCCCACAGGGAGGGCAATCCACGTCCCCCTTGCTACCCATGGGGGGGAGCTCAGTCGCGCAGCCAAGAGAGCCCCCTTGGGAGGGGGCCAGGCTGTGCCACAGCACAGGACCCACCACTCCAGCTTTTGGACCAAGAGGCTCATGTCGTGTCTAGCATTTGACGCACTGAAGTCCGAGCTGGGTCCTCTTCTTAATACCCTTCAAAGCCATTTCTGGGCAGGTTTCCACCCCTCACAGTTCCTTTGCACTAAGCCTCACAGGCAGTTAATCATCATCTCTGGACAGAGGTACAACTGCCAAGGCACATATTTCATATCCTCTCAGCTGCTTAACTTCATTGGCCTTCTACCTGTCTCCTTGAGAAGGCTCTTTTGGGATTATGACTAACATATTGTGGAGGGGGGGGGGAAATGGAGCCAGTCCCATATCACTGCTGCCTTGTGTTTTCTGGGCAAATATCTGGAAAGGTGTTTACATTTTGTATCACCACTGGAAGACATGAGGCTGGTGTCTCCGTTCATTTCCGAACCAAAGAGCAAACCTGACTGGACACCAGTGGCCCCGGGCCCGGGAGTATGTGAGGGCACAAAGCAAGAACCTAAAAGAACACCCTGGTCATCGAGCCAACCATGAAGCACAAAGGTCCCATACCAGTAGAACTGTTCTCTGACTGCTAATCTTCCCAGCTGCCGTGCTTTGACTTCTAACCCTGAGCATCTAGTAAGGAGCAGACAGGCAAACCTTGTCCCCAAGGAGCAGGCTTCTGCTGGCAATTGATTAGCACTAGTGTGGACCCTATGCGCATCCCTTGGCAAAGGGAAAACAGCAAGCACAGGTGGTGCAGATTCAAAGCATCTCCCAGGAAACGCCACATAAGCTATCAACTACCACTCTGCGTCCTCCAGACCCAGTCTTTTGGAGAAGCAGAGTTGACATACAAAGGGTCCTCCATCGCTGTGAAAAGCTGACCAGAGAGCTGACCTTTGTCTGTGCTGACTACAAGAGGTCATCACTGCTCTGGATGTCCCAGAAAAAGACCCTTCCAGAGAACCATCACCTCTCTTGAAAAGCAGCAGCGATTCTGGCCTACTCGCCTGCAGGACAGCCTTTCTGGTGGCATCCAGCTCATGACTTGTTCATCTGTCAGCTTTCACCAGTGCTGGTGACCACCAGGAACACATCAAAGCGGCCAGCTGCAGGATGAGCAGGGTTGAGACCTGAGATATCACAGCAGGCAGTAAGGTGCCTCCCTCTCAGATGTGTGGCCTTTGAACAGTAGTTTTAATCTCCACTTGGTCTCAAAAGAAATTACACTAGAGCTCTCCACTGACCTACCAAACCTACAGGCCTAAGGTAACACAATGGCTCTGCCGGCATGTTCTCCTTTATCAGCCCCATGCTATCTGCCATATAATCCTCCAGGCGACAGATCTCTCAGCACAGCCAGGAAGCTTGGCTCAAATCTACTGACCCAGCAAAAATAAAAATTGAGTGGCTCCAGAAGGCACAATAGATCAGAGATAAAGAAAGAAAATATTTCTCAGGTAATTTGGGTGATCTGGGCTGCTTTTTCCACAAATTCTTAACCAAAAGAAGCCCTGTGCATTTCCTCATCAGTCATGCAAACCGCTGGTCAATCCAGTGGGCATGTATGCTCCCAGGGGATTGGGAGCCAAGAAAAAAATCAAAGCTGCTGCTGTTGCTGCTACATGACTGTATTTGTAAAGGCAAGACACATACCTGGCAGGCTGCTGATAACCAACAGTGTGGAAATTAGCATCACATGAGGCTCTAGCAGATGAAGCCAGGCGAAATTGCCTCGAGCTGTGGCACCACCCCTTGCTATGAAGCCAGACAATATAGTGTTAGCTATGCACCATGGCAACCAAATAAATAAAAATCTTTGGCATGACAGCTCTCCACTTCAGGCTTTGCAGAAAGCAACAGCCCCAGCACGGCCACTCCTGTCTCGCAACTTCAGGAACCCCTCTCAGCGATACTGAAATGCTCTCTGGAGGAGCCACATGCCTTGGGGGACTGTATGAGGAGCCCAGGTTACTCAGCCACTCAACCGAGTGAGCTGTACTTAGGTGCAAGTAGCCCTTATTAGACACTTCCCTCTCCATGCTTAAATTGCTAATTCTGCAGCCAGTTTTTATGGGGGTTCTGCAGCTGGCTAGTGGAGTAAAAACAGAATTGCCCTCAAAAAACAGAAAAAATGAGGGCTAAACCCCCTCAATTCCTAGGGATGTGATGGGAGGACACCCAGCTACCTACAACAATCTCTCCTGCTGACTGCATCTTCAATCTGCAGCCACTGGGTCTACTCCTACAGCAGCCTCTACGGGGCCAAACTTGTGGGGCCAAGTGTGAGATCCCTGGCAGGTGTTTAGCAAGTAGTGTATCTTCACCTTCCACTTCTTGCTAAGTCTCCTGACCTGCATTGTCACAGCTGCTGGGTCCCTGTATGCTGCCTGCCTCTTTTTTGCACGACTGGATGGCCCCAGGCACTGAGTCCAACTGGCAGCTGTGACAAAACTGCAGCAAAATCCCTGGGAGCGACTTTGCTTCCGCTGACCAGAGGGCACCGGGCTGAGCATGGATCACACGGGATGGGGGGAAGGAGGGGTCTGCTTTTACAGCACTCCTGAGAAGTTGTCTTTGCCAGGCAGCCAACTTCGAAAGCTGGAAGGATGCTGAGAAAACTCTGAGTCATGTTAGCCTGCTTGGATGGGAGAAAATAATGGCAAAAGTAAACATCTCTCAACAGCTATGTTAGTCCTGCCCCCGGGGTCTTCGGCAGCAAGCCAGTGTCTCATCCCGGAGCACAGCCCTCTGGCTGAGTACGTGCTGATGCCAAAGCCACGGTTTGCTATTGCAAACACATGTGTCTGACTGCCTTTGTCTCCCTGCACAGTGCCAGTGCCAGGCTGCCAATCCCTACAGACAACTGATGGTGCCGCTGGTAGGCACTTTCTGACTGTACCAACAAGGCTGCTGCTTCGCCTCCGCACAAATTGATGCCCTGGAAGGGTGGAGTGCAGTCCAGCTCTGTGACAGGTATTTGTGGGGCACAACCAGACTTTGTCATTGGCCATCAGCCCTAACACTGCCCATAGGGCCCAGAAACTGTAGCTCTCTGCCCATCCCCTGACAGCTGATGTAGCAGGCGCCAGCATTTCTCTTCCTGATCCTCTGCCCCCTGCAAACCCCAAGAGCCAGAAATTAAACCCTCACTCAGCATCCAGATCCCACGTGCTTCAGAGGACATGGTCTGACCATGCCCGCTGAACAACTTGTCCTTCCAACAGCAGCACCTCCAGACAAAGGTGAATTTGAAGCTGCAAGGCTTACAGGAAAACATTTGTCTTTTTTTATCCCCAGATTATGCACAGAGAATGGCAAGACAGAGCTTTCTGGAAAATGCAGGCAGGTCCATAGCAGGCAGGACAGAACCAGGCACTAGACTTCACTCTCGCTGGGGCAGGGATTGCTGATATAAATCCAACTACTGTCACAAACTGACAAATTCACACTTCGTTTCCTCCACTGTAGAGATGCACGCAGCTGCCTCTGTCCCCACACCCGGTAGAAATAGATCATAGCCAGCTCTGTCTGCAGGGACCGTTCAGATCATCCAGGCTCAGTTCTCATATACTACAGGCTGTAGAAACCCATCCTCTCAGCTTCCGGAGAGGCTAGAACATACTCCTTAAGCAAGTCAGACAGCTTTGGGAACTAGAGACCTTAGTTACTCTGGACTGCTGCTTCCCGTTCCTCTCCCCCAACCATTTCAGACCACAACAGCAGAACAGGCCAGACAGGTATGTTGCCAAGCATCTCCTCAAAGATGACTCCATCTCATGCAGCATAGCAAGTACATAGGTGGACACAGAGCCCACTGCAAGTATCAATGCAGTCACCTGCATCTTTCCTGTTGGGCTAACCCATGCCAGTCAGACCTGCTTTTCCCCAGCATCTGTGCCCTACAGCCTTCAGAACACTTCTGCTGGCCCATAACCTAGCCAAAAGAAGCTGCTACACACCATGTGAGTGACTCAGATCCCCTTCCTATAAAACACCTCCTCTGCGGGGTGCTCCCAGGCTGCACTCAGTGCTGGTCTCTGCAGAGGGACTCCTAGGTGAGAGGTCCCAAACCAAACTGAAGCACCCTTGCTCCGACAGTAAAGCACAAGCCAAGGGGTGGTGAGCTCAGGCCTCCACAAGGGGAAAGCAAGCTGTCAAGTGGGAACAAAAAGGATTCACAATACTTTCCCCACCATTTTGCAGAGGAGGGAATTGGCCCTACACCCGAGAGCTTGCTAGGAGGCATGAAGCTTCTCATCTCATCAGACGTATCTTCTGAAAGTAATTAAAGAATAAAAACCTCCCTGTTCTAATGGCAAAACTGCTCTAGTTCAGCCTCAGGGCTGGGCTGGGAATCGTCCACTGGGTGGGCTCTGCTCCTACACTGCAGAACACCCCCTTGGTGGAAAAAAAAGGAAAAGGCAGCACCACCTGTAGCCAACAGGTTCGAAGAAAGTAAACAAAGAGGTGCCCTTTGCTTATAACACACCTCTCCAGAGAAAGCTCTTGGCAGTGCTGGAGCGTGCAGCCAGAGGCACGTTCTCCCACACTGAGAGACTGGTGGCACAAAGAGAAGCAAAGCTCACAGCCTCCTCCTGGCAAAGCATCACTACGATCTCTGTCCAGCCTCAACAGCACCTGAACTGCAAGTTCCACCCACTCCCGCATTTAGAGCAGTCCTGTGGTTCATGAGTCATTTCTTAGAGTCCTTCAAACTGCTGTATTGTCCCTTGGCCACTGAAGGGCAGCAGGACACCTTTGGTCCCCGCTCTGTGTGGCCATGGGCCCCGAAGTCTCCCGATTTCACTAACAAGGTGTCACAGGAAGCACCATTCTCTGTGCATTGCCCTCCCTGCTCTGGCGGCTTCACTCCACCACTGAACAGAACAGATAACAATGCTGCAAAACAAGGCACAAAGCTCATCACTAGCACTGCAACCAGGAAAGCTCTCAGCTATCCTCCTCCTCAATAGCTAGCCTGGGATCTGTCAGGTACAGCAGTGGGAGGAAAAGAGAGAAAGTGCTGGAGCAGTTGGGATCAAAAACAGGCTGCAAGTGCTAGATGCACCTTACTTACCATGCTGTTGGCTGGTTTGCTGGCATGTGCCTCCATCTGCTGCCAGTACTTCTTTGATTCCTGCACGATATCTTCATGGGTCATTCCTGGGAACAAAAGGAGACAGGACTGAGCTACCCTGCTTTGGCCAAGAGAAAAGACAGGGGGAGGGGTTGCAGGACTTCCCACATTGGGGCTTAGGAACCCCTGTGTGGCTGACAGCTCCCAACAGTCCCACTGGTAATGTCAGGACATGGGTTGTGAGGGGACCTACCACAGATTGTGTTTAAGCACAGGCTAAGGAAGCTCCTCTCTCCACACAAGCCAAATGAAAAGGGAAGAGTTCAGTCTCCCGGGGTCATTCAGACCTGGCATTCTGCTCAGGCTGTCTGCAAAGGACCCAGATGCTGCCTCCAAGATGATGATTCTTGACTAGGGGTCAAGACCTTGACCAAGGCTGTCCCCCAACACCACATCAATAAATCCTACCCAAGGCCCTAAGACAATGCTTTGTTACTGTTGATCTACTGTATATTGGAGTTCTTACCACTAGCTTGGAAGATCACAGATATCCCACTGAGACATCTAGCACCTCCAAGACCCCAGAAGCTCACCTAATCCCTGCTGGAATCAATCAGCCTGTTACACACTTCAAGTTGTGGGGGCTGCCCATCAATCAATAGGCGAAGAGGAAAGTTGAAATTCAACACAGACAAACACCAAGTACAACCAAGGTAGCAAGGAAAGACTGACAGTGCAAAACCAACAAAGGAACAGCTGCTAGTATGTAACCAGCAAGGAAAGATCTGCAAGGTTTCAAGAATCAGAAATGCAACATCAGACAACAAGAAAAAGGATTGGTCCGACCTTATCTAAGGAATTAGCTCCTGACCAACTTAAGTGGTGAGGGAACAGCCCCTGCCAGCACCAACCAGCTAGATGGGTGCTACGATTCTCAGAGCACTGAACAGCAAGAGAAAAGTACCTAAGAGTAGGAGCTGTCTGGTCAATGTGAGGACTCCGTTACAAAAAAGGCCATGTTATTTAAGTGCTGTAAAGACCCAAAATAGCTGCCAAAACAAACTGAAGTGAGTATCTTGCAGTCAGCTGACTGTTGTAACAAGTGGGGTGCTGAGGATGGCCTTGATGCAGCACCCCCAGCACAGAGAGGTTGCAAAATTGCTTGCTTTGCTTTTGCCTATAGCTTGAAGTGAGGTGTTCCCCAGGCATGCCACATGGACATGATCTTTGATCTGGGAGCCAGCATGTTCCAGAACTTAAGGGCCAGCAAACACAAGTTTTCATCTCAGCTTAGGCTGTGTGTAACTTGGGCAAGTCACAGCATTCCTGACCTCAGTTTCCCCATCTGTGATTTCAGCTGTCCAGGTCCCTGCCAGACAACAATAAAGCTGTTTGTACAGGGCTTGGACAGGATGAAAAGCATTCAGGGAACTTTACCATTCTTCAAGAACATTTGCTCAGGCTTCCAAAATGGCAGCTGCTGCATAGCTGGTACTACTCCCAGATCAGAGCTGTTTGTGGATTTTCTCCTTCTTAACCATTAATCCCAGAAGAAACTGTGTAGAGTTAGAAAAACTGCAACTCCCTCTTCCGTGTCCAAGTATTCCAGGGCTGGACACAACACTGATCTGCACTTTGGGGACAAAAAATTATAAAGCTGGGGAAATCAAAGCAAAAAGTTAAGGTGCTGCACTGGACCTGTCAGAGAAAGGGCCAAAGTAGCTCCCATCTTCTCCATTCTGCACACCTGCACTGTGATCCTTGGGGTGTGGAACCAATGGCAGAAGCATATACAGCTCTTGTCAGAAAACTGAATTTCAAATTAAGTTCTTAGCAAGTGACTGCCTTCTTCCAGTCCCAGAAATCTCAACTCACTCAACAACATGGTCTAGAAATGTGGTGGTTGCAAAACCCACCCCTCCCAAATATGAAAGGATGTTTTCCAACACACCAGCTCTCCAAAGCATGAACTGTCCCAAAGAGATGATCTGGGAACTAAACAGCCCATGTGTTGATTACTTAAAACATTTCAGCACCTTTTGCAACATTGTTAGTAAGGACAAAGACTGTGATTTCCACTGACAGAAGACAGGAAGATATGTCTGTGAAAAGCCACAGTGAACAAGAAAGCAGTCCTGCCTGTCCACATTTTCAGATCTTGGGAACCTTTACTCCACCAATACAATCCTTTATCCCCATGAACAAAGCCACAAGCTCTGTAAAAGCTCAAATGGCTGTGAAATGCAACAGCCCCTTGGTTTCAAATGCAAGCTGCTATGAATGATGCCCCCTTCCTATTCTTGCCAAGCAAATGGTGCCCAAATCAAACTCTCTGCTCCAAAGCTAAAGCATTCCCAGAGAATGGCGACAACTACCTTTCATCTCTGTTTCAGTAATGAGGGCTACACTTAAGAGAGGTAATAAACTACCACTCCACTCACAAGGAAAGCACGCTCATATATACAGCCCTGCAGAAAAAAAACCAAAAAGATGATGGCTCTCCCATTGTTGGAAAAGATGGGAATAAGCACAAGGCTTACTGACCACCTCTGCAGCTAAACTGACGGCTTGTGTGCTGGTTCATCTCCTCAGCTTCCCCTTTGGAAATCACTTCTTCAAGTAAAGAAGGCAAGAAGCAAAAAAATCAATCTACCCATTTCTTCTACAGGCTGAAGAGGAAGGAATAGGGAGGGAGGAGAGGAGGGAGCAAAGAAAGTTTTTCTAAAAAAAAAAAAAACAACCCACCACCAAAAATAAACCAACCATGGGGTGGGAAAAAAGCGAGGTGCTTAAATATTAGAGTGCCCAGAGTACTATAGGCAGTACCATAAGCATGTAGGGCAGCAATAGTGGCCTACGGCTCACAGGCAACATGCTGTCTTAGAAACTCAGGTGGTGTAATTTTTTAATTTCCTGTGGCCACAAGTAAGTGAGGCCAAATGGGAAGAATCAAAGATGGCATTCGCTACAGTGTGCTACTTGTTCATCACTCTCCCTCATGAGCCAAGCCAAGGCCAAGGACTGCACTGAACTACAGAAACTAAAGAGATTGCCCCCAATTACATCAAAGAATCGTAAGAAACATCCATAACGTGCTTCCTCTCTGAAGTACTCCCATTACCAGGCTGGGTCTGGCACTAAACAAGACCCTGTGGTGAAAAAAAGATGTTGGTAGCATTGTGGGTGGACCACCATCTACTCGGTTAACAGGAGAGCAGCGAGAGAAACCCTCCAACATATCAAAGAGAGAGAGGACTGAAAGTGCCAGATGTGGCAGTGTCATTATATGAGTGACCTGAACATAATTTCTGCAATAGCCTCTTCAGAGGCATGTCATCAAAGCCTTTTTGGGAAACACCAAGTATCTTGTCATTTCCCAGTCGGTGAATTTGTTTAGAGAAACTGGAAATGCACAGCCTTCCTTTATGTAACTGCTTTGTCACCTGCGCATGCTGCCATTCTCACTGCACCAGGCACTCAGTCAGGGGCCCAACTGCTAATTAGGGTCTTGTGCAGGATTTAAGTGCAAAACCCCTCTGGGGATTCAGCCCTACCTAATAAGCATTTCAACTTATGCAGCTGGTCCTAAGGAAAAGGCTTCCTGGTCTGCAAATTACAGTAGCGCATGTAAAGAAAGGAACAAGGGCCAAATCATCTCACAGAACACCTTGGCCCTCTTTTATGTGTCCCTGAGGAGACAAAGTATATACACAAGTGAGTGACAACTTCTAGTACTCCCACATCACCCTCTTCCCCTCTCAGCTGGCCCCGGGTACACACTGGAAGAAACTCAGGTGTACACACCATCAGCCCTGCACCAAGTCACACTCACCTGAATATTGCTGCAGCAGCCAGACCTTGAGCTCGATGAAACTATGAGCGAAGTGGCAGCTGTCCTCGCGCAGGCAGCCATAACGCACTTCATGTCGGCACACGTCAAACTGGAAGTGCTCCTGGAACTGGCGGATCTTGGAGTATTTCAGGGAAGTGGAACGCACAATGTGGACCAGACACCTGCAGCCAGGCCAGAGAAACATGAAGCACCAGAGGATCAAATCTTCACTCCCTCCTCCTTATATGTGACTTTCAGACATTTGACTGGGCAGTCAAAGGACACAGAAAATCAACTCTGAGAGAGGCAGACTCCCACTGGGAAAACCAAACCCCTGCCCTCCCACCCTATCAGCCCTAGGTAGGTATTTTCAATCTCCTCAGCCCATGGGTGATGCTCTGCTTAAGTCCAGAAATCAGACACATTTCAAAACATGCAACAAAGATACCAACTCCTCTGGCTCAGCAAGTCCCTAAGTCTCAGGTTGCCAGGAACCAGAAGGGGTTGTATTACTGTGTACTTGACATGTTTCTTATGCTTGTTTTCCTAAACATTCATTACCAGCCAGTCAGAGGCAGGATCCTCAGTCAGAGGATCTTTGGTTTGACCTTTATGTAAAGGCCAAGCTGAAAGGCAAATTAAGTCAATAGGAAACTCAGGCTGACTCCAAAGGGCTTTGCTGATGCCTGAAATCCCTCAGCACCAGGAGCAAACACACAGGGTGAAACATATAGTGCTATTTATCATGCTTTGAGCTGCCCTATGATTGGAACTCACAGGGAGGAAAGAAAGAGACCAGGGCCCTGGAGCTAAACTGGCTGGACTTGTGAGAGATTGCTCCCATCAGCACAAAAAACGTTCACTCACTTGTTGTCATGGAAGCTGTGTTTGGCAGAAAGGTTGGAGCAGACAGATGGTGTATCCTTGGTCCCTTTGCTGATAATCCGGGGTTTGCTGTCAAAGCAAATCTGAGAAAAGAAGAATTAGCATGCTGGAAAAATCTTAGAGAGCAGTGAACCAGAGCCACTTCACTTAGAAGGGGAAGAAGAACCAGAGCCAGCCTATTCTAATGTTCAAAGTTGGAAGAAGCCTGCTGAAAACTTTGTGGTAGGGCTTTAAAATAAAGCAAGCACAATTTTGGAAAAGCTTCCGGACAACATTTTTTGGATTATTCTCAATAGTATTTTCCATTGTGGTTGGAAAAATTTTGGTCAGAGCCACATATTCTTTTCCAGTTAGCCAACAGAGCAAGAACAAGGGGGAAATGATGGGGAAAAATAAAAGAACAGCCAGTTCACAGCAAAGAACATGTCCCTTTACATGTACCGCTGCCAGTGTGGGGAACTCTTTGCTGCAGAGCATCAAGACGGTACAAGCCAATCCTTAACTGTCCGACTCAGTGGCTCAGCACAGACATCAAGTGGGAATTTGTTGCATTACGGGGTTCTGACTTCTTAAGTAGCTGGGGCTAAACTACAATTCAAAGCAACATCTCAACACAGACGAGGAGACAGGTAATCCCATGAGGCTGTGTGCACCTGGTTCAGCTGCAGGGGTAAGGAGGAAAACTACCTCTCCTTTCTCCTATACAGCTGCATCCACTGCTCACTGCCCTCCTTGGAGCAGGGCACTGGCTGGGACATATAGAATTACAGAATCGTTTAAGTTGGAAAAGACCTTTAAGATCACTGAGTCCAACCGTTAACCTAACACTGCCAAGTCCACCACTAAACCATGTCTCCAAGCACCACATCTACATGACTTTTAAATACCTCCAGGGATGGTGACTCCACCACTTCCCTGGGCAGCCTGTTCCAATGCTTGATAACCCTTTCGGTGAAGAAATTTTCCCTAATATCCAATCTAAACCTCCCCTGGCACAACTTGAGGCTGCTTCCTCTCATTCTATCACTTGTTACTTGGGAAAAGAGACTGCACCCCACCTCACTACAACCTCCTTTCAAGGCCTCCTTTTCTCCAGACTAAACAACCCCAGCTCCCTCAGCCACTCCTCATAAGACTTGTGCTCTAGACCCTTCACCAACTTTGTTGCCCTTCTTTAGACACGCTCCAACACCTCAACGTCTTTCTTGTAGTGAGGGTCCCAAAACTGAACACAGTATTCAAGGTGCGGCCTCACCAGTGCCGAGTACAGGAGGATGATCACTGCCCTAGTCCTGCTGGCCACACGACTTCTGACACAAGCCAAGATGCTATTGGCCTTCCTGGCCACCTGGGCACACTGCTGGCTCATATTCAGCCAGCTGTCAACCAACACCCCCAGGTCCATTTCCACCGGGCAGCTTTCCAGATGCTCTTCCCCAAGCCTGTAGCATTGCATGGGGTTATTGCGACCCAAGTGCAGGACCTGGCACTTGGCCTTGTTGAACCTCATACAATTGGCCTTGGCCCATTGATCCAGCCTGTCCAGATCCCTCTGCAGAGCCTTCCTACCCTCCAGCAGATCAACACTCCCACCCAACTTGGTGTCATCTGCAAAGTGACTGAGGGTGCCCTCGATCCCCTTATCCAGATCATTGATAAAGATATTAAACAGAACTGGCCCCAATACTGAGCCCTGCAGAACACCACTTGTGACCAGCCACCAACTGGATTTGACTCCATTCACCACCACTCTTTGGGCCCGGCCATCCAGCCAGTTTTTTACCCAGCAAAGAGCATGCCTGTCCAAGCCATGAGCAGCCAGCTTCTCCAGGAGAATGCTGGGGGAAATGGTGTCAAAGGCTTTACTAAAGTCTAGGTAGACAACATCCACAGCCTTTCACCCATCCACTAAGTGGGTGTGCCGGTTTTGGCTGGGATAGAGTTAATTTTCTTCATAGAAGCTGGTATGGGACTCCATTTTGGATTTGTGCTGAAAACAGTGTTGATAACACAGGGATGTTTTAGTTACTGCTGAGCAGTGCTTACACAGAGTCAAGGCCTTTTCTGCTTCTCACACCACCCCACCAGCAAGTAGGCTGGGGATGCACAAGGAGTTGGGAGGGGACACAGCTAGGACAGCTGTCCCAAACTGGCCAAAGGGATATTCCATACCATATGATGTCATACTCAGCATACAAAGCTGGGGGAAGGAGGAAGGGGGTACGTTTGGAGTTACGGTGTTTTGTCTTCCCAAGTCACTGTTATGCGTGATGGACCCCTGCTTTCCTGGAGATGGTTGAACACCTGCCTGTCGGTGGGAAGTGGTGAATGAACTCCCTGGTTTGCTTTGTTTGCGTGCACAGCTTTTGCTTCACCTATTAAACTGTCTTTATCTCAACCCACGAGTTTTCTCACTTTTACCCTTCTGATTCTCTCCCCCATCCCACTGTGAGGGAGATGACTGAGTGGCTGCTTTGCTGGCTAAGGTTAAACCACAACAGTGGGTCACTTTGTCATAGAATGAGATCAGGTTAGTCAAGTAGGACCTGCCTTTCATAAACCCATGCTGACTGGGCCTGATCGCATGGCTGTCCTGTACATGCTGCATGATGGCACTTAGGATGATCTGCTCTATTAACCTTCCCCAGCACCAAGGTCAGACTGACAGGTCTGTAGTTCCCTGGATCCTCCTTCTAGC